CACATCCTAGATCCACGCACGGCGCAAGGCGCACTACACACACACACACACACACACACACACACACACACACACACACACACACACACACACACACACAAAATAAAAAAAAGAAGGCTCGCGCACCAGCGGCGCACCAGCAAAGTTGTGCCCTGCACGGTGCGCTGCACCTGTACGCGTTTTGTGCACGGTGTGCGCACGTGCGCTCGCATCTTAGATCCGCGCACAGCGCAAGGCGCACCGCACCGCATGACGCACAACACTGGTGCGCCGCAAGTATGGTTTTCTCTGAACCGGGACGAGATGTGGCAGTTTGCCACGCAGCTGCTATGTAGACCGTAGAACTAGTCGGAGTATTACTAGGTAGCGTACGTAATGATTGTCCTCTTTTTTCAGCATGGCATAGGGGGTTGCCCCGAGAAGGGTTGGAGGAACAACGTTGAAGTCTCGGGATGAAGTTGATGGGGGGAGAAACTAGTGTCCGACAAACCCGACCAGAGGTATTTCCATTATGGACAGGTTCAAGGAGGGGCGCAGCGCTACCGGGAGCGCTGCGCCCCGCCCAGGGTTGGGACACCGCACGGATAGGCCATGGTGAAGGTGCGCGGCAGCGATGGCGACCATCTCCTCTCTCAACCAAGCGCTTTGCGCACGCGCAGGTGACCGGAGGCGCTTGTCCACACCACGTCACAAGCTGATGTGGCAGAGTGGGCTAACTCCCGGTGGTTCTTTGCTTCCGGGAGTTCCACGTTCCGCTCCATTGCCGCTGCGTTTTTGCCCGTGGCATATGGCCTGAGAGGCGTTGGCTATGTCGACGCCTGTGGAGTACAGTGGAGTCAGCCCTTGGTAAACTGAAGTGTGAGTGCAGTGGCGACTGCAATCATAAGGAAGTGGGTGCGTCAGCAAAATTAGGGCGCTGTTCGGCATCGACAACGGGGCGCTGTTCATCACCGGCACCATCGTCAACAGGTTGCGGTTTGACACCGGCATTATTCGTCATCATCGTCAGGGTGCTGCTCATCATCATCGACATTATCACCGTCATCATCAACATGGTGTCTTTCGGCAGCATCATCACGGTAAGGGTTTGTCGTCAGCATCACGCGTCATCACATCATCAGGCGGCATCACCATCATCATCATCAGGGTGCGGTTTGACACCGTCATCATTCATCATCATCATCAGGGTGCTGCCCGTCATCAGCGTCACAATCATCGTCATCATCAACAGGGCGTGGTTCGGGAGCAGCATCACGGTGATGGTTCATCGTCAGCATCAGGCGTCATCACCATCGTCAGGCGTCATCACCATCATCATCATCTGATCATCATCATCTTGTCTTCATAGGGCGCCGCTGAGGTTGCTCGTCATCATCATCATCATTGTCATAACGTCAATATCATTGTCATCATCAATACCTCATCTTCACAAGGCGCTGTTGGCGAAGCTTGTTCGTCATAGGGCGCTGCTTACCCTTATCATCATCATCACTAGGTTATTATCCAAGGTGTTCGTCATTTGTACCATTATCATCCTCTTGTCATCACATGGCGTTGGGCATCGTCGTCAGCAGCAGCAGCAGCAGCAGCAGCAGCAGCGACATCATCAACATCATTAACATCATCATTATCATCATCAGCATCATCAATTTGCAATCATAGGGTGCTGTTGGTACTGTTCTTCAGTACGCTCGGCATCATCATTCTGTCATGACTATCATCATCATCATTTTGTCACCATTAGGTGTTGCGGTTCATGGCCTTGTTTGTCTCTCACATCAGCAGGTGAGTTTGGTCGTCATCATCATCATCTTCAGGATGATGCTTATCACCATCTGCAAATCCAAAAAAAAAACTTTCATTTACCTCTCTCTCCATCATAATTTTTAGAAATTTCCAGTTCTACCATATACTTTAGGGATTCGATCTGATGGATGTGCTTCAGTCGGGATAGGGTTTTTGTGGTCACGGTTGGGACTCTTGGGGGAAGGGTGGGGGTGGTATTGGGGAGCCTTACTCTACAGGGGCGCTGCAAGGTGGGAGGTGGCTGCCCTGTCGGGGGTGGGGCAGATTTGTGGTTTGTCCTTGTCTGGGGCCGGGGTGGGAGAGTAGGTCGCCTTCAACCCCAGCAGGGCCAGATAGGGACAAGGGGAAGGCGAAGGTATCCTCTAGGAGGGAATTGGCTGCCTTTGCGGAAGGGGGGGAGGAGGGGGTCTGTTCCAGGTTGGGACCGAGGAGGTTTTCCTCGGCGGTGGCAGCATGGGACAGTGGGCAGGGGGAAGTTTCTCTATGCGGTGACTTTTGGAAGCTTCTTGGATCGGATTTCTTCTGTTATGCCTGGTAGTTTGAAGAATTTCTCAGGCCTCTGAGGGTTTGTCGGTGGGTTGTACGAAGCTGCACTGGATTCAGACTGTTATATTCAGGATTTGTGGCTGTCCAATGCCAGAACGACGCTGGCCGGAGCCGGGGTGATGCCCTGTAGCTTGCCGAAGGTGAGGGCATGAGGTCTTGCAGAGAGATCTGGGGATGCTATGCGGGGGGCATCCTAAAGGACAGCTGGGGGTTGCTGACACAGGACAACACTGGCCGGAGCTGGAGTGAGTCGTAACCTAGCAGTTAGGGGGCGTGAGGCCTGGTTGAGTTTGTCAGAGAGTAAGTCAGTTTCGGTGAGCTTTGTTAGGATCTGTTGGAAACCCCTTAGATACTTGAGTTTTTTCGAAAACTGTTGTGGGCTTCAGGAGGTGCCTAGAATCGTTGATATAGCATAGTCTCTTTTATATACTAATCACCATCATCATCATCATCGTCATCATTATCATCATCATCGGAATTACTATCT